GTTATTTGTAAAGACTTCCAGTTCTTTCTTAATAATTTGTGGGTTGTTCTCAGAAAGTAAAGCCAATGACCATTAAGGATCGGATTCTGGGCCATAGAACTTTGAAGTTAGTGAATGTCTGTGAGGTGAACTCCATTGGTGTGTCACAAAGATGTTACATTGACAGATTGGAAGCTAACCACAAGGTTTATAATGTTCCAACTGAGGACTGAGAGAACATGGTACTGGACAGTTGAGTTAAAAAGGAAGGATCTCTGAACCTGAAATGTTAATTCTGATTTCTCTCCACAGATGCTGAGTTTTTCCAGCAACTTCTGTTTTTTGTTTTTGATTTCCAGCATCCACAGTTCTTATATGGTACTGGATAGATTTGGTGACGCACTGGTCTGTGTGCTTGTGACTGCCAATCTGGATGCAAGTTTCTGTTGAAAGTGGCTAAAAGCTCTTTCTTCTGAATCAGCCCATGAGATGTGGGTATACATTGCTACTCCTAGCTGCCTTTAAAGTGGCACGGGTACCTCTCCGGTCCGCCTGGCAAAGGGACAACCACAGTGCTGTTAGATCCCGATGGAATATGCTACATCCATTGTCTACCGAGGGTGGAGACGATGAATGTTTAGAGCAATTGGTTGACCTGCCAATCTTTCAGGTTGCTTTGACTGCTAAACTGCCTCCAGTTAAGATGATGTGTGATTTGGAACGAATACTTGACAGATGGCAATCCTATGCACCTATTGCCTTTATCCTTCTTAATGGTAGAGGTTATGGGTTTGGAGGACGTTGTTAAAGAAACAGCTACAGCAATTGACTGACTCTAGCAGGTCCATCAGTTGTCAGCAAATGCACTGGGGGCAAGTAGATTTGAGATATGTTTGCGCGCCCACCCATTTAACTGAAAAGAAACCGACAAGAGAGGAAGATAAATGGTTGAGGAGAAAGGAACAAACTAACTGGCAAAGACGATTGGCTGAACAACAAACAAATGGTAAATGTCACCAAATGACTGAGGAATTCGAAAAATTAGAAGGTTGTTGGGCAGCTGGAGTGGCAGAGTTGTCCTCCAAGATGTTAACTCAAATAGTGGCAGGGGCAATATTTTCAACAGCAATCATCAAGATTAGGTTTAAAGGCACGGGGCATGAAAATAGTCTTTCAAGGAACTGGCACATATACAATGAGCCAATGCCAACCTATGCTGTATGATTCCATCATGGAGCAATGATCATAGCTGGACTCAAAGCCTGTGCCACGTGAAAGAGCAGCCACGAGCAGGGACCTTACCTTTGAACAAGTCTTTCCTTCGTATCCAAAGCACAATAGCCAGGAGAAATCCTATCCCACCAAGTGATCCTCCAATCGCAAATTTCAGGATCGCTGCCGAAGCTGCGAATGACCATCTTTCATTAGTTGCAATTGTAAAAAATTAAATGTGATCTTCAATACTATTTCTCTTTTCATTTGTCCCTCTCTCATTTTGGACATAACTGATCTGCATTGGACGTTGATTGTGTAGAGTTTCACACCAAACAGGAATGGGCTGTTTGGCCCAATGAAAGCATCTTATCCCTTACATAAACAAGAACAATAATCTCATGGGGGTCAACACTCTTGGTTCCATACTGCTCTGTTGCCCTTTTCTCTACACTATCAAATATGTTCTTCTATGTTGACAATAGTTTTAGTTTCAATTACTAACTCTAGTAATACATTCCACAGACTTGTCCTGTGTAAGAAAAGGTTCCCGTTCTCTCTGTTTAAAACTCTTACATATAATCTTCTGTTACTACAGAACATAGAAGTTGGGAGCAATCTGTTTGAAGTGATTGATATGATTAAACTGGATGATTATTTATTTTTAATCTACTATATTTCCTTTAATGAAGAAGTACACAGCAAAGGTCACTACTTTGAAAATATACCTAGGCTGTTCAAGGATGTTATCGAAAAGCATTTCTTGGCACAAAGAACAATGGAAATCTACAACTCTCTACCCAAAAAAACATTAAATAAGGTGAAGGTGTTGGGGGAGGGGGGAGATGATTATAAAATTTCACCACTGAGATCGATTTTTTAGCAGACAATGATATTGACGATTGCGAAAGTAAGTAAGGTAGAAAAATTTGATATAGGTCAACCGTGATCTGATTGAACAGCAGAACACATTTGAAAGACTGAGTGTTATACTCCTATGCAGACATCCTAGCAATGAACTGGTTTATGCACCTGCAAACAAAAAGCAGACAAATTATCAGGTGGAGTCGCAACACTGTATACACACTGCATGTTGAATTCTGAAAGACGATGAGCTCCCCTAAAGTCAAGGTTCACATGCAACATCCCTCTCCTTTCCAAAAGCATGTTTTGTTATTTATAGTACCAAGTGAGCCTGTGAGTCTTGATAACGAATAGGCATTTGTTTATATACCTACACCTCATGATAGTGATTTTGTCTGGAGGTGCCATCAATTTCCACAGTCAGTGATGTTACCTGTTATTCTTGTCTGCATTGTTGATGCTTAGCTTCCATGGGCTGCAATTCCAGTTTCAGAATCTGCTTGGCTCCAGATTAGTCACTGACTGATTTTATTCTTCAGGCTGTTTCAACTGATTCTAATCCTTGTGGCATTTCTTGTTTTGTTCCTTGAGTGCTTTGAGCTTATTTTGAAACTGTTGATTTTTCATCCTGGATTCTACTAGCTCTATCAAAAATTCAGTCTTCTGTTAGTCTTGTACGTTTTCTGTTAGTCTTGTACATTTTCTGTT